GAAATAATTCGTGTGTAAATAAAAATATTTCGAAAAAATTCCCTAGTCCAAAAATTCCAATTTTCTTTCTCGCTATAACATCTAGTATTTCCCGTACCGGCCTCGAAATCTTGCGACTATTAATCGGAAAATTCATTAAAAGTTAAAGCACAATATTTCGCAATGAATCTAATTTTGAAAAGAATACTTTAAAGTTTCAATAACTACCGTTTAAATTATGGCCGAGCATTAAAGAATTTTACTTTTAAGCCCGACTAATTACGGGATTTATTAGCTTTGCAAAATTAAGTAATAAGTAAGTGTGCTGCATACGATTTATACACAATTATCCGGCCAATTAAAAAATATTCATTATTGTAGCATATAATTCATCAGCTTTATCTCACCTACGAACCGTGAATGAATTTATCTCGACGCGATATCGAACGACGGATAGACTCATGGTCGTAAATTTTAAGGCACCGCTGCCGGCCAGCAAACGCGCAAACTCTCAATACGAATATTCAAAACAAGAACTCATCTATAATTCATGCTAAACTATATAATCCGTGTATACGTCCCTGTCCTTCTCTTGCCTCTTTAAGAAACTCAATAATCTTGTAAAAGTTATGGACGTTGTTATGTGGTCAGATATGTATTGGGGCACATGGAGCACCGGACTAATTGGATGGTTTATCTTGGAATGTTTTGTCACATGACCTGCTGGAAAAATCGAAGCTATCGGACCAATAGCGTTGCACCGTATGTTTAAACTATATAATTCATAAGACAGGGTAATAATTTTGTAAATATTTTTCTTGACTAAAGCGAACTAAGCTGCTAATGTCTTACTCAAAACCCTTGACCCTCGATGTTTTCTATATTAGCAGGTATGCTCGACCCTGAATTTTTCCTCCATAGTTTATTTGTGTTAGCACAAAAAATTATATAAAACGCACAAAAAAAAAATATCTAAATGTGAAGTAAGATCAGTCCACATAGTAAATATCGTCGTGTAAATATCGTCTTGGGTTTTTCTGATCATTTATCATTCCTCATTATAATGATAGCGAAGCTTCGTATTCTTTAATTTTTATCTAAAACAAAAATTAAATGTTCACTGTATGAGAATAAAGTTTTTATTCTTGAAAATAAAAATTAATGATAGCGGCCATGAAAAGATCAACCCCTAAATATGAAATTTATGAAAATCGTCTTTTAAATACTTTGTCGTGTCCTAAGATAAAATTATTAACTTTATTTAAAAATTCTTGTTGATTAGATAATTAATTTTGTAAAAATAAATTGATAATTTTTAATCGTTCACTCATCATATTACTATTCAAAATTTATCTACCAATCTTTCAAATTTACGATTAATAACAAAAATATTTTGTAACAACATTGAATATGGAAATTATCAAAAAGAGTATTTCACAATGCTTTTAATAAAATATTCCTCGATGTCATAAGTTTCAAGAACACTAGATGTCTATTCTTGAATTATTTTCATTCTCAATGAAAGATTGCCATTTTGTATTCTGATTTGATGTTATGCCATTTACTCTGCTAACTCTACCAAACTACTACGTGATAAGCTCTGGTCATATAAGATAAATAAATATAGAGTTTACTCTAAACTGACCGATTACCGTATGCTATTAACATTAGATTATGGTTTTAATAAAAAATTTAGCCTATGACATTTAATGTTCAATGGAACTTTGTTATATTTACATCATTAAAATATCAATTCCGTTATTACAAGTATTGCTTATATTTTAGAAGTAATAAGTTTATAATGATCCAAGTATAAAACCTAATTACTTTCAGTGAAACGACAATTTTTCATCACATGCAGTTGTTACAATTCCGTGAAATCCCGTTATCTTATATGTTCGACTTATTATTGGTATGAGCAGTTTTTCTCAATGAAATCTTGCTTTAAAGTACCAAATTGCCGTGCTCTTATCAACAAATATTTTTGTAAATCTGAACATTAAATCGTTTAAGCAATCAAATCACATATTTCACATTCAATTTAATTCTTTCCAATGCAATATTTCTAAAAAAAAAAAAAAATGCATTACAATTTAATAATAAGTATGAAATTGTTTCTTGAATAAAAAGTGACGGCAATAAGAAAGTCATTATGTATTATATATATATATATATATATATATATATATATATATATATATATATATATATATATAAATCAACATAAGGAAAGTTAATTTATTATATTAGTTAAAGCTACAGTTTTTAATAGAAAATTATAATAATTAAAAATTACATGTGTTATTTAAACACGAAAGTGATAAGTCTAGTAGAGCTTATAGAAGAAATACAACAGATGATTTCATTTATGATTAAAATTTATTGGTACTTAGCATTCAATCTGTGAGCATTTTCAAAAGTGATTTGATATTAAATTTTCATAACTTATCAAATAAAGCAAAATATTTTAAACACATGAATAAATATGATCAACTGTAAATAAAGAGATTATAAAACAGAAATAAAAAAAAATAAAAAAATCTTAAATTTTGGCTAAAACTTTTATTCGAATGTAACAAACAAAAAAATGTAAGGTTGACCCTGTTATAATTGTACTAATAGTAACAATTACTTTTAATCAAAATATAATTTTAATCAATCCTAAATATTTATAAATATTCTTGTATACTCGTAAGATTTTATATAATTCTATTGTAATTATACGATTGAATTTGGGAAAAATTTAATTTTCAATTATCCTGTGAGATTATTTAGCTTTGATTAAAAAATTAATTTAAGATCCGATCTTTGGACGGCTTATACAATTCGCACAAAAAATTGTAGAAAGCCAATGGCTAATTCTTAAACATTCTAATTATAATATTAATTAAAATTAATGAAAATATTTTTATAAAATTTTTCATATTACTTATTACAAATCGGATTATTAAAAATTTCTTATCTCTTATCTTATTTAATAAAATAATTTTTTTTTGTCTTTATACATATATAATCCAATACTTTACCAAAGAAAATACAATGTAATTTAAAATGTGATTCATTACTTTCGATACGAAGCTGGCAAATACATGATTTCAAAAGAAAAATTTAAAAAAATTATAAACTTTGATAGTTTTATTATAATAATGTGTTTTTCAATGAGGCACCATTCCATAATTATGTTATCAAAGAGATTATTAATTTCCGCCATTGTTATTTAGAATATCGATAATTAAAATTTAGATAACGTAAATAAAATTAAGTACGTAAATGTAATACGATAAATACAGAATTGAATGACTTGATATAATGAAAGTCTTTCAACAGATTGATAAGTAATTTTTAAATTACTCTTTGAATTATTTTAAACAAGCATGGCATCTTTTTTGAATTTTTATAATTATAATTAGAAATGTCTAATTCTAAAACTATAGATATTAAATTTATGTCATGGTAGTATATTATAAAATTATATAACTTAGTATGATTAAAAAATAACATGACTGTATAAATTTGCTAGTATTCTGAATGTGATACATTTAACTTTATTTAATGCACATGTTACACTGATGTAAAACATTTTTACATTTTTTCTCTGCTCGTAATTTTCTAGTTTACGAATGCCTGAACAGTAAAAATATTCCTACAAAAATTATTATTTCATACATTGGATAGAGATGGCTGTGTTAAGAGACAAGTGTCACAAATATGGCAAAATAATGAACATTTATATTATAAATGAAATTGTTATTATTAAATAAGGTAAGAACTTTTGTTATATATTTTACAATGTTGTGTCTTTAAAAATATATTTTTATTAACGTAATACTTTTCTTAATAAACGAATTTTATTACCTTAACTGTATATAATGTCACAAATTAACGATAATAACTGTAATTAATAACCATGAAATAGAACGCATTTTCATTGTTTTAGAAATTCAAATCACAAATAATACAAAATCCATAATAAAATTGTCAACAAATAATTTAATAATCTTAATTTTTTAAATACAATATCCATTGATTGTCGATTTAAGAAATATAAATAATGAGTGTGTGCGTGTAATTTTCTTTACGATATATAGCGTATTTTTAAGTGAAAAAGTTAATGATACATGGCAATTTAAAATATTCCGAAACCCGAATAAATTATGAAATTGTAAGCCTATCAAATTAATTCATTGTTTTCGATAAACATTAATGGTTAAAATCTTGTTAAAGCTACATGTCTGACAAACTTCGGATGCAAAAGCAGCGCAAGATTCATTTGAATCGTTGTGCGATTTCTTTTGGTTTCAATTAAAAATAGAAAATTCAAGGGACATATTAGGATTGCATTAGCGCAGCTATTTCATTCTAGCCTTTTCCAATAGCTTCATTCGACATCCTATTATCGATCCTCATAGCATATCGAACTCTAACTCTTTGTTAAGGAGCAGATATCTTTTAAAAGTTGCATGATTATTCTCAAACTTTTATTCATTTAAGAAACAGAGAAATTTTTTAACGTGAAAAAATTCACACTTAAAACTATGGTGTCAATATACCATTGGTACCATTGGTACTAATTTGTCTTCAGCTGTTTTTCCAGTGGTAACATTCATCAATGAAAAATATAATTCAAGCCATACAGCCGACGTATATATATATATATGCTTTTATATACAAGTCCATTATTACGGATCCACTCAATAATCAATAACGAACACGGGTGGCAATGTTAAAAAAAGTCCCTCTAACATAATGAAATGGCATAAGCACTCTTCTATATACCAATACGAATGAGATATCACAACTAAGGTCTTTCATATCATTAGTTGTAATACCCACTACCTTCCCCCCTGACGCAGTACCAATTCCAAAGTACTAATAACAGGATCGAAACGGGGCAGTCGGTGGCATTATAATCGCTCGGTAAGGCAAGCTCGGTCCCGTGCTGTTGCCGTCCTTGAAGGCAAATCGTCAAGTGACGACGGGCAAATGCTACACCGGAACGTCCAGCGGCAGTTCTCACCTACCTTCTGGCACTGAAGGTGGCCCTCCCCCCTCGCGTCTCCCTACCACGTGCTCATCCCGATAAAGGACGGCGTCGGTCCGAGGGACGGGCGTGCGCGGCCACCTGTGGCGCCTCACTATCACTCACGGCCCTCGCGGGCTCATCGCCGGCCACCTGGACAGCAAGCCTCGCGAGCTTCGGAGATCGGTGCCGAGGAGAGCGCGGCCACGTACTGAGGCGAGAGAGTTGGCGCACGTTGCCGCGAAGCCCCGAGGCCGACGCCGGGGATGCGCGCGCACGTCTGGCGCCGCGACGCCTCCTCGACGTTGCGTCGAGATTCGCGCGCGAGGGTGATTTCGGCGGCACCCCACGACCTTCCTCCTCCCTACGAAGCCGCCAGCTAGGATCTATTCCGCCGGGGAACAGAGCCCGAACCTTCATCGGGCCTTCACCGACCAATACTCGGTCACTATTCGCCTAATAATGGATTAGCTAGGATTAGCGCACTGGCATATTCACCAAATTATCATCATTGTTTACCGCTCATTTCGACACTCCATCGAGTCTCCTTAGCGATAATCCTTAGCGAAGTTGGAAGATCGCGAGTAGATTTTGCACTTTGCGCGATTATGTGCATCGAAGGATTGGAAAATACAAAATCGCTTCAGTCCCATGAGAATCAATCCTATAAGCAGTCACCCACTTGTTAAACGATCATTATTAATAACGATAATTATCTCGTTAAAGCATTACCAGTTCATTTATAATCACGACTCTCGAACAAGCAGTAATTAAGTTATCAGCGATTAAATATTCAATTCTATTAATTATGCTGTTAAATTTTTTTTTTTTGTTTTTAACTTTCTTACGACCATTCGTCACGTTCTTCTTTCGCACTCTTGTCGAGTCGCGCGTCGCTCCAGAAGAGATATGCAAAGACACGAAGCTTCGAGTTCTTCGTGCCAGTCATTAAATGCCCTGCTCGTCTAAATCCGTTATTTTTAATAATTTAAATATTTAATCACATAACAATAAATATGATTTTTAAGTAATATATATATATATATATATATATATATATATATATATATATATACATATACATTGCACGTAAAGAATGTGCACTTCATTTCATAAGGATATTTTAAGGCTATTGAATTTTCTAATTTAATGTTATACATAAATAAATAAATAAGCTTTAATAATGAATCGTAGCAATTAAATTATGAATCGCCATCATTCTTATGAAAAAATAAAATTTCGTCGTTATTCTTGTTTGTTCGTATCGGCTTATCAAACGACTGGTTATTGTTATAAAATTACTAAAAATTATAATAGATTTACCGTTTTAAATTATTTAACTAATGAAGTATATAAAGAATTTGAATAACTTTTATTAAGCTAAAATATAATACATGTAACAAGACATTTTTTTTTTCCAAAAATACATTTTGATAAAATAATGTGCATTATCATAAAAAATACAATTACATAATCTTACGTTTTGCAGCATTAGTAATATAAATATTATTACAAGTAATTTTTACAATTATCATAAATATATACGACTTGAAAACTATTATTTTTTGCATTGTTTAATACCTTTGCCAAAAAGAACTGGAGAAAAATTTCTTACTCAATCATAACTCAACATCATTTAAGTTATTGTTTCAACTAAATTATTAAACTAATGCAATCATACCCGAGTTAATGATAATATTTGAACGCAAATTGAATTAAAATTTCATTTAATTGATTCGTCACTGAGCAGTCGAAGGAAGGAGCGAATAATGAAAGAATGAAAATAGAAAAATGAACGAAACAATCGATAGAAATTAAACTTTAACGAAGCACAAGTTCTATAAGAATTTGCTTTTCGAAACAAAAAAGGATCAGACTACGTAGCAGCAAAGACAGTATAGACGTCGCAAGCTCGTCTGTCCCGAACATCTTTTCGCATTCGACCTTATTGCATTGCACCTATTGCAAAATGAAATGATCAACAATTGACGGAAGAAATGACCTCTTCATGCTGATTGATACCCGCTGATGGAGACTTGGCCGACAATTAAGACAGTCAGGGAAAAAGACTTCTCATGATTTCCGTTTATTTGATTGCGTCGCAAAAACACAAATGATTCTTCGAATTAAAAATCCAGTCAGACGGAATAAGGAATGGAGATGAGGAGAACGAGAGAGGGAATAGAGAGAATGTTATATTCGATGGTGCTGACAAAACAATTCCGAAGGGAGACGGATTGTTAGACACGTAGGACTACGCGTGTTAACGCCGAACGCAATATAATTAACTACAATGGCCGACGCCAAGATGATATACGTTCAGCCAAATTATGTTATATTATTAACTTTCCCAGTATTATTGCTATCAATTAACTTTGATTAAAGTTTAAATTCAATTGAACTGATACTATTTAGTGTTATTTCTTTCTTTTTTTTCTTTTTTGGTAACTTTTATTATACGCTTGATATTAATGTTTTTGCAAATTTAAAAGTTCATTGAATTTCAAAATTTAATAAAGTTTTATTAAACATCACGATATGTATAATTACTTGGTAGAATACTATACAACATTTTCAACTAATTTACTATTACTGAAATTAATATTTCTCTTATATGTATATATATATATATATATATATAGAAATGATCATTATTCCCATGAAAAAATGTAATTCAAAATGTTTAATCTGTATGTACTTCAAGATGAATCAAGACATAGATTTATGCCTTTTTTTATCTGTGATAAATAAATAGAAGTAGTTGGTATAATGCCAGGCACAATGACTATTAATTCCATTAAAAATAATTATGAACGACGAGATAGAAGAAATGACGGAGAAATGACGGCATCTTAAGAACTGATGCAAGGACGCAATCTCAAATAAAGCAAAAATGGTTTTAGATCAAAGCCATAAAGTTCAAGGGGACTACTTATATACTGTGCCAACCAAGTTTCTGTATATCGATTATAAAACAAAAATTAAAATCAGCAGAACTAACGAGATAATTGTTTTATAAATTTTTGTAATGTATTCTTAATATTCAATGGCAAATTTATATTTGCCATTAATACGATCAATTAACATTTTATACGTATGATTTAACATTTTTTTTTTTTTTTTTTTTTTTTTTTTTTTTTTTGTTATATATACGAATTCAATGTTGTTTCTGTAAATTTTGATGTATCTGGCTTTAATACAGAATTATTGCTTTAATTAAACGTTTAGCAACCACAAAAATACATTTCTATTATGTGAAATAATTATGAAGAATACTTTTATGTTAATTATCATTTACCCCATTATTACAATATAAAAAAACTTGTAATCGAATAAAAATTTATAAACTAAGCATATATTTTATATTACAAATTCCTCATAAATTAAATATTTATGTTTGTTTATAAAAGACATTAAACAATGTATAATTATATATTTCTTAATAATTAAATGTATATGATAACTCTTGAGATGATTAATATGTATATTTATTAATTTGTTTAATTATGAGATACGTTAGAAATTTCAATACCGCTCATAAGTAAAGTATTTGAGCTTCAAGTAATGAATTTAATATCATAATTAGTCTTGATTGAATATAAATAAGAATACTTTACTACAACTCAAACCAAACTATGACTGCGACGTTAAATATAATAATAATAATAATAATAATAATAATAATAATAATAATAATAATAATAATAATAATAATAATAATAATAATAATAATAATGGAAATTCAGTGGGATGGCAATAATCACATATTCATTTACTAAACGTAATTTTTACAAGTAAATTGCTAGCTTTAAGTAGTAAAGACCCGATTCTGCCCGCTCGATATAGCCTTTTCCCGTTTCCAAGACCAATACTTTAAAGGTCTTCGCAAATACTCATTATCCTAAGAAGAAGGCATATCTACTGTAATAAACTCATGTGTGAGATTGTGAAGAAGGCTTGTAAGAAACTGATAGGCCCAGATGCAAAAATCGCGATAAGAAAGCTCGTAAATCCATGGATACTTTAAAGCTGCAGGTTGAAACTGAAAATAGTTGTCCTATAAGATAGTCGAGAGTTGCCGACGCGAGTGCACACGGATGAGACATTCGGCAGGAAATGCTCTAATTTTAGTCGAGAAAGGCGCACAAGATGAAGAACGCGTAATTGGATTTGAAGTGCGTGCCGGACAAATTGCCGTTGATCTTACTTTAGCGCACCTACTCATCTCCACATCTATTTGTCCATTTACTTATCTTACTTATTTGCTTTTCTTTTCTATTCTTTTCTTTTCTCTATCCTCGTGAAATCGAGTATTTTGCATAGAAAATCACGTCACTTGAGAACAATAGCTTTTATTACATTACATTTTTGCGATTATTTATATATAGAATGAACATTTTGGAAATTAAAATTAATTTAAGTTAAATAACGTTTTAATGGTTATCAGTAATGATTATATGCGAAATATATGGGCATCGCGAAATTATTAAAGTATCAAATAGATTTAGCGTAATACTGATGGATAATGCAATTTCAATTTAATATTATCAGAATCACAAAAGATTTTCAATGGTTAAATACTTGAAATTAAGCACTCACATGCCCACTTAGGTTATTTGCATCTCAGTTTACGTAAGTCTCTCTCATAACTCAACATCGATAAATTTCGAAAAAATTTTCATATAAGAAGATTTTTCGTATTATTATAACAAAGGAAATAAATGACGTTTAAAATTGAAGACGCGCGCCTTTTAAATTAAATTCTGAAAAAATTATGGAGACAAAAGAAATTTGTCGGCAAATTTAAGCGGAAACTTAGCGGAAATCTTACAAATGCAAACACAGAATCCTTTTAATCAGCAGCCACAAACTTATTATTATTCAAAATAAAGAATAATTAAAAGTTAGAAAGGAGTATTTTGTGTGTTTTAGATAACAGCGGTAAACTATCTAATTAAGACAAATTGCTCAAACAAATAAAAGACTTGATCCAATTATTTCAATTTGTGGCAAAAATTGTTAATATATGAAATTTGGTATATTATACACTATAGTGCATTAATTTTCATTGAGAGCAAAATATTTGTAGATTAATATCACAAAAAGTATCGATTACATTGAGGTACAATTAATTATAACAATATAGTTATAATAATTTATACGCTTACAATATAAAATGATGATGATTGATCGAT